AAGCTTCTGGATTCACTTAAATACTAAGCAGACTTTGTTATCCTAAACATATGCAGACAAACAGGAGATATACGAGACAGGACTCATGACTTTCGCTTAAAAGCTATAAATATAACATCGTATTAAATCTCTGGAGCACGAAACAGTCTATTAGGCCTGTACACACATTTATCTAGAGAAATACATCCATAAAAGTTTCTATATGAAATTAATAATTAGTGTGTTATAATACTGTCAACGTTCTCTATTTACATTCATTTGGGCTTCACTGGAGGACATACCATTGCTTTTATGAACTAATGAAGGCGTCTATTTGACACTCTATTATTTATAGAAATTTAAAGGTGATGCGTTGCGTAATGGCATCTCACGTAACTATGTACGTGCTTGCTAAACGTAAAGAGACGTGCACTGTAGGTTCTACCTGCAGATATGAAACGTTCTAGGGGTAAGCATCTACATATTGACCGATTAAATATGTGCACATTAAATTAGAGTTAAAATGGAATTAGATACACCAAGTGGACTGCCACTATTTCGGTAGAAACAAAAGTGCACGAAAGAGTAGCAGATGCGAAACAATAGTTTGCAAAGGCTGCGTGTGAGATAATAGCTCTTTGTATTATTTTAATAGATTGCAGATAAACTTGCGAAGATAAAATACACTGGGTAATCTTACAAAACACTGTTCTTACCAAAATTTCAATCACAAGATATGGAGCATTCTCGTTGATGCCGAAAAAAATTCTCAAAGCAGGCTTGAGGCAGAAGATAATAATCATAATTATTTCATTCAATATTGCTCTAGTTAAATTAAAAAAAAAACTGTCTCGTTTTCTTTTCTTTGTGTATCAAAAAACAAAAAAAAAACATAGATGGATCTACTCTGACGTAGCAGGCCCCCTCTAAACGTATGGGTTGGTTTATTATAGAATTTGCAGTAAATTTATCAACTAACATAGAACTAAGGCTCGTAAACAGAAATCCTACAGCGTTAGGTTCTAAATTGATAGTTAAATTTTTCGCAATATTAAGAGCAGAAAAAAAACTTTTGAATGTCAGAATCTTTTTACACTTTGAACCAAAATATTTTTTTCACTCTCATAATTTTTTAAATTTTAATAATATTCATTGAGGATTGTGGATGCAGCGTTTGAAGAACATTGTAGTCCACATGGAGATTTCATCACAACGGAATGAGTATTTGGTATATAGTAGAAATATTATTATTCCATGTATGAAGCGTTTATTTGGTTCATGCGAAAATCTCTTGAATATTCCATCATTTTTTTTTACAGTGGAAAAAATTTACGAAACTGCGCATAAAGACATCAATATTCTGCTTAATGTGAAGAATATTTGTCATGTTCGTATTTGTACATTTTTATTAGGTTAAGTCAGCAATTAAGAGTGGAAAATTAATTAAATATTTTGTCGCTCTCAGATTATCGAATTTTATAACCCGGCGACAATGGCTTCCAAAATTTGACAATACTCTGTAAATGTCAGAAAAATCAATGAATTTCCCGGAATTTTGATAGTTATTTAACATTTTGTTGCATGGTAAAAAATATATTAAAAAACAGTTTATTTTCTAAAAAAACATTAGGAAAAATTGTCAACTATATTGATACGTTCTTACATCTATTCCTGGAGGTATTAATTTAAACTTATTATTATTGTTGAAAGTCATAAATGTAATCCGAGTTTTTGCAAGGGCAACAGAATTAGGGGGAATTCAATGAACACTCAAAAATGGAGCAGTTAAGAGTTCATAGAACGTAAGGGCCTCGTAAACGAATGGCCTCAGGCACAAACGTAGGGCCTAATAAACGAGAATTACGAGCGATTCATATTTTATAGTTGAATCATTCTCAACATAGTTGCTGAACTGGAAAAAGCAGCAGTTGACATAACAAAAATCAGTCGATCTATTTTTGTCATGAATTCCAAATCAAAAATAGACGAAGAAGCTGACGAATAATGTAATAAAAATTGACGAATAGGATCGACACAATACATTAAATCACCTGTTAGATTATCAATGGGAAAGCCTTAATGTTCAATTAAGACAGAAGGCTCGTGACTCGAAGGGGGGCTCAGAGTTCCCTTTAAGTCAGAAGCTTCTGATCAAAAGTCCTTAAAAGAATTCTGAGTCCACGTCAGAAACAATAAACTTCGGATCTGAAGTCTAGCGTTACTATACTCAGTCGCTACGCCAACCTCTAAATTCTCTACTTAAGTGGCATGGCATTCTGTACAATAATTTAAACGTTATTAAAAATATATCTCTCGGCACATCTAAAATCCTAAAATCTTCCACCTATGCTTACTTAAATGCAGTTTTCAGTGTAAATAAAGGTCTAAAATTAATAAATTATAACTTATTCCTGGTTAAAGCTTATTTGAGAGTATGTTCTCAAATGCTAACATTTGTTTGCAAAGCATCGCGTCAGGAATATTTTCTAAATAAACATAATGTCAAGTTAATATCTGTACCGCAGAAAATTTAGAATCAGTACATCAATGATATCAACAACAACTCTTCGCAAACTTGCCAACAGTTACCGAAAATATAGTGTCAAAAATTAGATACATTTGTTTCCGAGAATATGAAATTTGAAAACACGTTTGAAATTGTTTTATCTCTAGCTTTAGACTGTAATACCTCCGTTCAAACATAGATATAGTTTTAATTTTACATTCGAATTTTGCAGAGTGATGACAACTCCGTGTTTAAATTATTCAATGCAATAAATAAAGTGAAAAACATACAAAAAATAATTGTTTTATAATCCAAAAAGCGATTGGTCGTACGTGACAGGCCATAAAAATTTAAATTCACAGGATGGAGGACATTTTCGAAAATCGTCTTGTCTATGTTTATAGAAAAAATAAATCAACGTATTTATGGCATGCGTATAAATCAACAAATTCTGCCATCTCAAACTAATTATAGAGAAGAGTATATAAGCAAAGTATACAGTAAAAAATTACGATATTTTGGTTTTAATAAAGTAGGATATATTTCACGAAGGATGTAAGGAAAATTTTTCATTTACTATCCGTCAGTACAATGACTTCGTGTCATAACATTTTCCGAATCGTTCATATAAATTCCTCGTAATATGAGTATGAATAGATTTTGAAATAAAGTAAATTTTGTTACTTGTGGAACAACAACATTTATATAGATCAATTTAATTATAGTCCTTTTCTTATAATTTGTAAATGAGTTTAATATCATTCCTGTAACAGGAATGATTTTGACAGCAGCAAGGGAATGGAAATCCTTCATTGTCTTGTACCTCATGTTAAAACATGTTAAAAATACACCAAGTGATTCCAATACCTAGTTTCCGTTTCAAACGACGTAAGTATACTCCATTAATTGGGTTAAACTAACAGTGTGTTCAAGTCGTACTTGGTCTCGAGGTTATTTGACGCATTTTTCTAAGTTCTATCTTTTGGTAGGCATCCCATGAATGAAATTATGAAAGAATTTATTCCTATCTATTTCACTTAACATTTACACGTACTGTATATCGTAAGTTGAGCAGATGTGATTCGGATCCTGGAACATCTCTTCGAGCATTTATTGGCTTGAAATTATGCTGATAATTGATGATCATAACAATGAATATTGATTAATGCTCGTTTGTTTATTGATTAAACATTAAAGGAAGCATTTGTTTGGGCTTGCAATGAGTTTAAGTAATATAAATTATAAGTGACATTACCAGAATAAACGAATTGATGTTCTACGCTATCGATCTAAACCAAAATTCGGACCGTTCTGTATTTTTTTAAATTTTCGGTCTCAGATGAGTAGCAGTAGTTTTCATAGCTGAAATAATATTTAATACGTTTCAATTTCGTCTCTACTGTTTTCCCTACATTATTATTCAATCCCTGTAATAATCGAAAATGTTCTAACATGGCTATGTTATTTTTGGACTTTGAATTTTCTATTTGTCTTAGCCCAATCTCAGATATCGTTATCAAGCCAAAGTTTTTAAGTTTGTAAAATTATCTGTCAGAGACAAGGAATCTGTAAAGGCAAAATATCGATGATATTCGTGACGGATTCATCACTATAGATTTCAAAATCTGGCAGGTAGCCTATCTAGGATCCCTATCTACAACGAATTATGTGAGGCGTGTGTAAGAGATTGTATCTAAAATACAATTCCCCACAAACAGACATGTGTGACAAGTGATGTCGTCGCAGTTTAATTTTCACGTATTAATTGATCGCCAGATATGCTCCGAAGTTTAAACAGTAGGGTAAACAGTTCAGTAGGGTTTTGAAACAAAATTTGGATTTAGAACGGAAATCAGCGGGAATGGGAAGGTCTCTTGTATTTTTGTCCGCCTACCCTGGAATAAAGGCGAAAGAGGAGAGAGAAAAAGGGGAGCTTGAGAGCGAGCAAATTGGAGAGGTTCTTGAAAGCTTTGTTGTGTCGTCGTGGAAAGTGTGACAGTAAACGAGGGCTCGGCGAAGCTTGAGCCGTTCAGTAGGGCCATACTCAATTAAGAAAACGTATCAATCTCCTCGAATTTTGCGACTGGCGTCATCGAACTTAATGCGCTTTTTTTCCCCAAGAAATAATGTCAATGATCCATCATTTTTTGCCCATAACTGCAGCATCTTTCCTTAATACATAGATTTTATGATTTAAATAATTAGACGTTGTTGCAAAAAAAAAAAAAATCTCAGGCATCATGAAATATGATAAGTGAATCCATAACGATTGGGCATTGAAAATTAAATTATAGTGAATTTAAAAATATTATCTTCGTATCTGATCGACACAAGTAACTTCCTTGATTTAATCTGTTTAAGTTTTACGAACATTTTTAAACATTCCTTAAGCTCTCTGAAGTGTAGGTACTATTTTTGATGAGAACATTGTAGGATCTCGTGAAACACAAACAATACAATAGCAATATTAAATTCGTAAGAGCGTCTACAATACTGCTCAAAAAACGCTGTACATTTACTTAAATAGTATTTTTCTAAATGCTCTCCTAAAGTCCTTATTGAATATTGTGTAAATGACAGGGTTAAAAGCAGAGTTCATGTAGCCTAACCAAAACGCGAAGTCAAATGCGATGTTCGGAAAAGACATGAAAGGTCCCAATATATACATGAGGAAAAACGGGAGCCAACACGCTATGAACGATCCCATAATAAGACCTAAAATAAGCGTCGCTCGTTTTTCTTTTTTACGCGCAATTCTCCTCTTCTCCTTCTCGGGATCCCGCATTGCTTTCGGCGTGCTTACTCGTCCCATGTCGATCATTTCTCGCTTAGGTTTGTTGATTTTCTTGCCGATGAGAGGGTGACAAAAGCGCATCTTCAAGGGCTTCATCACAGAACATCGGGCGATGGCGCCCGAGTCCGAAGAACTCTGGTCCATGTCGCTCATTTGGTCTCCATCAACAGACGGTGCTGAGGGCTCTCTTCTGAACGTCTCACACGGAGAAGCCGGAGGACAACATTCTTTTACGGGACTTGCAGAGAGACTTGTGCATCCCACTGTACTCTCAACGGGGCTATCTTTGGCGACCCCTAAGTAAAGCCCATTTTCGTCTTTGACGTTGTGGTTCCGGTGATCAGCGTCCACTTTACCACTCAAGGTCCGCAGCGGTACCGCCTCAGCTTCTTGGTCACTGGACTGTTCTGATCCATCGTGCACTTTTACACTACCAATTTGTACCTGTTTGCTGATCAGAACCGTGTGCTCACTGATGGTGTTTCGGTGGACTTCTGCTGGAGAGCTCGAGGGAAGGTGCGTTTCGGAAGTGCGTGATATAGACGGCGCGGATTTGACTGGCCTGGCTTGTGTTACAGAACACTCGTCCTCTTTCTTCCTCTCCTCTCTCCGCTCCTTGCCTTTCATCAAACCTTTGTTTGCGCGGGCTTTTGCCGCGTAGTATATTCTTATGTACACAAAAATCATGATGGCGCTAGGGACGTAGAAGCTGCCCAGAGACGAGTATATCACGTAGCCCAAGTCGCTCGACACCTGCACGGAAAAAAATAAAAAATGTTAGATGAAACTGCATATTTCTGCTCAGAAGATTTTTCAGTCACTTGAATAGTTCCGGAATGTTTTCATGAATTTACATGATTTATAATATTATCTAGGATTTTCGCTAATGAAATCAAATAGACACGTTTCGTCTTTCATGATTTTTACACCTTAATTATTTATCCCAAAAATTATTTTAATTGAAAAATAGCTGCCAAAGAATTTTCAATTTTTAATAAATCAATTTGCACAACAATCTACAATACAACTGAAATATACATTGAACTATTTCTTGATTGCCTGTGTTCTTTTGCCGAAATATGGCGATAATTTTGACCAGGATCCATGAAAAGAAGGTCATGATTTAGGTTAGAAGGTCAACTAATTGTAAAAAATATATTTTGATTTGCAATTTGCATCAGATTGAGTTTTTCATTCAACCTACACTCCTTCGATCTCCCAATTTAAGGTGTGGCTTAGGAGCTTTGTGATCAGGAAATATTTTGTATTTTTTAATGACGGTTTCAACTGTGAACCTCGATTGTCATGGGAGCCAAATGCACGCTACTGAAATACGGTGTGGTATTTCAGGACTTCGCTCAATAATGGATTTTGTACAGTCTTTCCATGTTACTGACGCCGCAATACTTCTGTTGGATATAAATATCGATTGTTCCCCTTAGAAATCTACCGGCAAACGCACTATTGTTAACTGAAAAACGCCGCAAACAAATAAAGGAATGAAATTGGTATCCCATCGACTGCGACCGGGGGAGTCGTGCGGTAGCCGTAACGAATTAGAGAGCTGAAGCGCAGCGGCCGCAGTAGCTGCGTCTGCTTTCCTAGCTGAAATTGGTTATTAAATGACTTCAAACTTCGAAGGTTACATAAAATAAACCTGCCTAGCTAAAATATTAATACTTATAGGCCTTTAACAGATCTCAGTTAGTGTTTCTCGTTAAAATAACCTGTGAAATTTGTCGTAAACTTTCAACAGCGGTTATTTAAAATAAATTTCCTTTCCCTCCCAGCACAGGCGGTGAGGAGATAAATAAATCGTATTGGTTTCAAATTGTTACGTTGCTTTTAAGTAAACTATGTACACCATCATTGCACTCCGTACACCTTAACTCTGCAGACGTTTTTATAGACTCACTCTAATAGTTTCTGTGACCCCGAATGCGAACCACAATGGCTGTGAAGGAATTACACGTGCTCTTAGAATGAATCTTTCCTGACACTACAAATATACGGCGAGGACACGGTGGACACAAAGCAAACCTGCACAAAATTGAACCGAAAATTGCACCGTAATTATTGCGTTCACAAAAATGGGGTCCTTTAAGTTCCTCATGCCCGATTTATTAATGAAGATAGTGGTCCCCTAGAAGTGCAATATCACCGCTGAGAAAAATCATAAAATGGACCGCACCGCGGGACGCTCCACAATGTCTCGAGCATTGCTCCCTTTAGGGTCTTTTAGGCTGGCTCGGGTCACCGATTACGTAGTGTTTTTTTACGCCCTTAGACATTGCATTGCTACTTTCCAGGCACATTTACAGCACTCGAAAACGCTCGGGTTTTTTAGTTAAGTGTCATCGAGTGAACTTTGCTCGGCAGTAATCACCTGCGAACAGTAGATTTTCATCGTACTTGCCATAAAAATAAGGAAGCGTCCAAAATTAGAATATAAAGCACGATGGTTATTTAAATTCAATTAAAATTATTCATGAATATACATTTAAATAAAATAATTTTAAAAAATGTTAACATCGATGCATTTCCTACCGATGAATAGCTTCGAACAGTAACGATTACTTTTCAAAAATCATTGATTAGAAAGCGCTCGGCGTTAAGTAGATAGCAATCTGGATCGGCCTAGTAAGCATTCTACTATCAGTACTAGTAAGCATTCTACGACAGGCCACATCAGGCCTACATTTTCAGCGCCGACATCATTATGTTATGTTATTACTACAACTAGTATCACATTTTCCCATCTGGCGATCAAATCAGGTACCTCAAAACAAACATATTCTTTCAAATATCTCAGGAGAAATAGATACTTGGATCTGTAGATCTATGCAGCCGAGAAATGTGCAATGTGTCTGAGCTATTCTGCGAGGCAAATTGCCTACAGAATGGCCAGTGATGCCTACGGTGCAGGAGGCTTATAGGTCAGTCTCTGTTGTGGGAGGGTCTCTTTAGTCTGGATTTCCATGTCATGCAACAAAGCTTCTTTAATGAGTGGTTTCTGCCATTGAAACAGATCATTGATGTTCCAAGATCCAAAACTCTACAGTAGCTTCAACTGGATAAAATGGATGTTATAAAATAAAAGCGTGAATTTTCTTATTAACGTCCACATTTCATTGAATTGGTAATATTTATTTTCATTTTGCCATTGTTAGTGGTTTTTCTGCCTTTAAGAAACACTAATTTTCACTCATATTTGCCGCAAATAACATTTCTATGGTAAAAATCTCAAGTAAAATTTCATCTTCTGCCAGTGATGTGGAAAGTTTTGCAGCCGCTTGCTGGTCGCATTGAGAAGCGAAGTAGCGCTTAAAGAATTAATGAAATGTTCAGCTCTTTTTTGTGCATTTTCTTATTTATGGAAAAAAGGCGCTATTGTGCTCGTCATGTCCGTCTGTTCGTCTGTCCGTGACTTAACGTTTGCGTCGACGAGAAATTGCGCTCTCTGTCACTCACTGCAGTGAGTACTGAGTTATATTTTTTAGTGCATATTCTGCATCAGTCGTGTCTCACTGGCTGCCATTCTGCTTGCTATTGCTTATTATGAAAATATAAGTCTCTTTAACTGCCCTAAGGTAATTTTGAGCATATTTTGAAGTACAACAGGATGTGTCACCTCAAAAGAGCGTGAGTTTTGATTTGCACGATATTGCATTTGCATATATTCTTTTTTTTTGCATGGCGGCTTACCGGAATTCGGAATTTTGTGTTCATAAGTACGTGAAAAAGGAGTGATCGTCCACAATAAGTGATGCAGATTATTCATCCCGCTTGTAATTTCTCTTTTCTGATTGGTCTGATAGAAGTTAAACCGAGCCAATTTGTTTCTGCTCTAAATTAAAGATGCAATTTTGGCCAAAATGAAATCGGACGCTTGTGGTTCACGCTTTTTAATTTTATAGCCGAAAAATGAAATTTACTCATGAAATTGTTTTGAAAAAACCTGTTTGAACCCAAATTGTTGGTGATCATATTCATTTGGCCAAATGTTCAAAGGTTGTTAACATAAGAGGGATGTTGCTTTCAGTATTCATTTTAATATAAAGTTATAGTGCGCTGAAAAAAATTAGATTGCTAGTTTAAATTGCGAATTAAGAACGAATGATTAGGTATAAGACATTCACAAGGTGGAGAAAAACATTATTGAAAAACATCATTCATTCAAGTTTATTTTAACACTTGTTTAAAATGTCAGAAAGAAATATAACGCATACTCAATTTACTACGAAATACTTTTTTAATATTTTCTGGCGTTGTTTGCTTTGATTTAAATAAAATATAACTCATATACATTCTAAAAATCACTCAGTCCCTTATATAGTCTATCAGTTATGATCCTTGACAATCTCGTTCAGTTTTCGTGTCCTGCATTGCGATCTAAAAACTAAAAAATTATACTTCCAATATCCATACACTCGCTAGGCATCAAAATATTGTCTGCTCCATCGGACACTAAACGATTGCTAAATACATCGCTAAACATTTCGCAGGCGTAACGCTCGAGCCAGACGAAGGAATGGCCTTCCATCAGGCAAATTAACTTCGTAGCTCAAGAAAAATGTTCTCTTATGTGTGACTGTTCGTTTTAAATCCAGATGTGATAGTTATTTTTTGATAAAAATGCGAAGAAATACGTATAAAAGAAGATGCACAAAGTGAATTTAAATTTGGATGAGAGTAAATTTCATTTCAAAGCTTGATATAATGTTGACTTTGGCGTGAGAAACATAAATGGAAACTCAGAGTAGGCCTACCATGAATAATTTTACGACAAATAAATCTTGAAGAATTGAACCATGCAAGATCCTCACTGAAACCGTCAATCTTTCTAATCTTTACGAAGAAGTCTATTCGCTCGAACAATAGACAATTTTTGACGAACACAGAATTTAATTAGGTTTTAGTTTAGTCAACTCCGCATCTTGTTCACTCGGCAATATCAATATAGATATCTGGACACTTAATTGTCATTATACACGTGCGGGCAATAATTCGATGAGCCTAAAATACCAATACTAGGCTTTAGATGTCTGGCGGAAAATTTGTTCACCTTTTGTGTCTTTTGAAGTTTTTAGATTCATTCCATGGAATCTGAAGGTCAAAACTTTCATCAGCTGAGTGGTAGTTGTTGATGTGATGTCCCGATCGGATTTTCTGACTTTCAAAAGAAGTTCTTGCATATTTGACAGAGCTTCATTTTAAGAGGAAAGTACAATTTTAAATTTAACGTAAAGCAAATGATTTTTCTTATCACTCATTAAGCTTAATTTGAATAGAATTCGTTCACGAGATAGATAGACATATATTTTGAGCCTAGCCAGAAGCAGGTGCACTCAAATATTCATTCACAGAAAATCTTGAGCGATATGAGATTCTACTTGAAATAATAGAATAATCTTCCTAAATATTCTTAAGCTATATGATTTTCTAATTGTAATCATGTAAAAATCGTCCATTTTGTTCACAAATATATTGCAATACCAAGCAGGCGAGTAAGAGCAATAACTCCAACGCACATCTCCCCCATTCCCGAAAGCCTCCATTCAATTTCAGTCCTTCAAAGCCACGAATTCCTGGAGCAGCGCTGGCCCCTCAACTATTTTAATATCGGCGTCCAAGAGCTGAAAAATGGCACACGGATCGAGACGACCAGTGAGAGCCCTACAGCGGTCAGTAAGTAATTTGTGATCCTTCTGGCGAGCAAATATATATACTGGCAGTCAAATTTTGGGCATTAAGAGCCATGT